GCCTCTCTCTCCATCATCTCCAACTCAGTGACGCTGTGGTGTTTGAAGTCGCACTGAACGCGCCGACGGATTAAAACCTGTTTGGTGTAAGGAGAAGCGTTCGGAAATGGTTTCCTGGCACTGTTACTCACCATTGAAAATAAATCCTAATATCTACGATCCTATGTCGAGTTCCTGCCAAAGATTAGGGTGTGGTTGTCTTATCGCATAACTAAGAAAAAGGTCGCCGTCGGTTATTGTGTAGTGATTTATATCCACACTAATTTCTTTCTTTGATCTAGCGTACTGCACAGGGTGTTTTAAAAGCCTCTTGCGTCGACGAGCCGGCCCAAAGACGATACTACGGTAATTTGAATTCAGGCGCACCGCAGATAATCCGCGTGCTACGGGATCGTCAAAACACACGAATTGATTAACAAAATTTTCATTAACGTTACGACGGTGATTTCGATAAGCCTGACGACCGATTCTGTAATGAAGGAGACAGATTCAAGCTCACAATGATGTCGGAAATAAGTGCGAGTAGCACAGTGTCTGGTTTAATGACTGGCTTTACGAATGCCTGCGGATCCCCTGACGTCCGAGCCGATAGCCGATAAGTTTATTGCCCTAGGTGACTTCGATGCGCGCTTTTGACGGAACAAAATGCAGATTCTGAAGAGATGGGTCAAGCCCTCCAGAAATGTGTTTGACTGCCCTCCACAGTCTTCGACGCCCCCACCGATCGGCTCCCCCATATGAAAACAAAAGCCTGACCTGGCTTTCCCATCTGGAGAAGAGAAGTGAAGCCTGGCACTGTGATCTGTGAAGATTATCGCATCGCTGCAGTCAAAGCTAAACGGGAGGCTCGCAAATCAAAAGTGTCTCACTTCCGCCACTTCCAACACGCGTGCACTGCCAATGCGCATTCCGCGCGCACATCAGTCTCGTTAGACATCTCCGGACCCAATGCGCCAACGTCTTCCACTTCTTCCACTCTCCCTCCTGCCGTAAACACCGCACCGATTGCTATCACCATCCACCAACGCCATGTGCTCTGCTTCAACCCCTGAATTGACCGCAGCGACCAGCAACAACACCATTGCGTTTACACACATTCCTTTCCACTGATGGGACGTCAGGCGTCGTCCCATCAACTTCAAGCATCAACATCCACACCTGCAACAATGCGGACTCGGTTTATACCTCTCCTGATTGCGATCTCACATCGGCCTCATTGGTAACTTGGAAATTTATCATACAGGGACTAGGAGCCTGTGTCTGGAGCACTAACCAACAATTTCCACATCGGCCCGAACTGCCCTTATTGCACCTGCCCATACACTCGCCACACTGACATTTTAGGAAGCGTACGCATTCAGGAAAGCCTGTGGTAGACAACCGCCGGCAGCACACTTTCTCCCACTAGCAACCGCATATCCCCAAACACTATCAACCATCTCAACCACCCTATCGGCACATACCACGCAGTGTGAAGTAGGCCTTTCTGTTCACCCCCAATGCGGCTGCAATTGTGATCCGATTATGAGACCATCAGATTGCGCCAAGCGTCATAGCATTGCAGGCTGACGACCTACGCACCCGTTTTAACCATGTTAAGCCGGGTCTGCAAGGAAAGTACATTTATCTTTCCTGACTTTGATCCTAGCGTTTTCGTAATGTGCCTTCAGGATTTTGAGAATCCTTATGCGACCATCTACAGATGGACCGGTCAATAATATGTCCTCAATATAGGCGTAAACATACGCATGCTCTTCGCGAGGTTACCAATCAAACACTGAAATAAACCGCGGGTAGAACTTGCTGCAGATTGTAACGTTTTGCGTCGAGACAAGCCCCGATGAGTATGGATGGAGGTGGCGTCTCTGGATTCAATATCTCAAATGACTTGGCTGTAAGCTCGCTTGAGGTCCATTATTGTAAATGCATGGTCACCCGAGAGAGGCGCATACATATCCTCGATGCGCGGAAGATGATAAGTGTTTAATCAAGCTACTGAGTTGCTCGTCAGCCTGTAGTCGCCACAGATAGGCACAAATCCATCAGATTTGAGAATAGGATGTATTAAGGCTGCCCATTCTGAGTATTGCATGAGCTCGATAATTTCCGCCTTCTGTTGGCAATCCAGTTCTTCTTCGCACTTTGGTGCGTCCGCATAGGGAACTCAACGAGCTTTAAGTAATCAGAATCGGTACTCTTATCGAAATTGGAATTTAACAGATGGATCGCGAAAACATTAATTGGAATTGTAACGAAAGAGATGTTTATTGTATGTCAAAATGGAAACTAAAGCCGGTGCACAACAGTGCGATGTGCATAGTATAACAGCGAAGGCATAACTTTAATCCAGTTTGTGATGAAAAACGACACACCTGTACAACCCGCCTTGCTATCGCGCTTCTCTGTCATGGTATGTTGTCAGTTTTCTTAATGTTCAAAATCTCTATATTATTCACTGCTCCGTTTTACTTGCTGCCTTTAAGGCTAGGGGCCCGTGCGATATAACTCGTTAGTTCGTGAGAACATTACTATTTACGACATTGGTGACTCCCGACGTTAACGCAGATTTTATACCTTTCTGTCATACTGAAAAACATTCAACGTACTATTTGCTTGTGAAAATCTATTCCATTTCCATTTACTTTTCTCTCGAATTCTGATATTTTACCATCTCTGTATTATTATGTCTCACTCCAACCAACAACCTGATGCCGCCGCCCAGTCCATTCATGCAATCAATTTTACCTTTGCCTGAATTCTGGCAACACGCTCAAGAACTTTACTTCATCCGCATAGTATCAGCCTTTTATTCTGCCAACGTAACCAAGGAGCTTGCGAAGTACCACAACCTTGCAAAGGTCCTCTCCGCTAGTGTCATCTCTCAAGTTTAGTCCTTGCTAGCTAATTCTCCTGCAGATGCTCCCTCCTCCGCGTTAAAGGCAGAACTTATCCGACTAAATTCTGTGTCTGATTGTTCGTGAACTAACTCCCTTTACTGCCCCCAACAACTTATCTGTCTTGGATACGGATATGACTTGTCCTTTTCGGCAACTGTTGCTAAGTCACCCCAACATAATTAACTCCCAGTTTCGCGGTGGTGTGGTTCAACATGATGTTGTGCACCATATACGCACCTCAGATCCTCCCGTGTTTACTTGGCCGAGACGACTAGCACCGGAGCGCTTCAAGGCCGCGAAGGCGGAATTTGAACGCATGCTGCTAATGAGAATAATTCGACCGTCCGAGATAACTTGGGCACCTCCACTGCACATGGTGCCCTAGGCAACATCAGGCGACTGGAGACACTGTGGTGACCATCGTGCCCTCAACAGCGCTACCATTCCCGATCGGTACCCCGTTCCTCATCTTCAGGATTTGGTTGACCCCTTTTCAGCAAAGCGGTTTTCTCTAAGATTGATCTGGTGCGTGCTTTCCATCAGATTCCAGTCGCCCCTGAGGACATCCCTAAAACCGCCGTCACTACGCCCTTCGGTCTCTTTAAGTTCATCTGCATGCCGATCGGTCTACGTAATGCCTTCCAAACGTTGCAGAGGTTCATTGACCATGTCTTACGTGGCCTACACTTTGTGTTCGTTTACATTGATGACCTCTTGGTGGCCAGCCGGAATGAAGAAGAACACAAAGACCATCGTGCCTTTGTGTTTGACCGCCTTGAGAAGTTTGGCATTGTCATCAACCCCTCCAAGTGCGTGTTAAGTATGCCGTCGCTCGAGTTCCGCGGCAATCAGGTCGACTCTGAACGTTTGCGTCCGCTCCCATCCAAGGTTGAAGCATATCGTAATTTTCCTCTTCCTATTTTCAAGCGTCTGTTACAGCGATTCCTCGGCATGGTCAATTTTTACCGTCGGTTCCTACCGAACTGTGCTGACCTCATGCTGCAGTTCAACAGCATGCTTTCTGGTCCCAAAGGTCCGCTTAAGCTGACTGGTGAAGCACTGACTGCCTTTGAGATAATCAAGAATTCCCTTGACGAGGCCACCTTACTCACACATCCCGCTACCGAAGCTCAGCTGTCTCTGATGGAAAATGCTTCGACCGTAGTCGTAGGTGCAGTCCTTCAACAACACCTTGCTGGTCCGACTCAACCACTTGCCTTTTTCTCCAAAAAGCTCTTACAAGGTGAGAAACGCTACAGTACCTTTGGTCGTGAACTACTTGCCATTTACCTGGCCGTGTAGCATTTCCGGCATTTCCTTGAAGGTAGTGACTTCACTGTTTCCACATCCGAGGAAAGTCGTCCACCTGGACTACATCGCTCAATTCGCCACCGACATCCGTCACATTGATGGCACGAAGAATGAGGTGGCTGATATGCTGTCCAGACGCTCACTGTCTTCCCTTCAACTCTCACACGGGATCGATCTTTGTGTCATGGCGGCTGAGCAACAGCGAGTGGGTTGCCCTGGTCACGAGTCTGCTAGTGGTCTCCTAACCCAAGACGTTCCTCCGACCACCGGCTCTGGTGCAATACTTTGTGACGTCTCAACACCCTTTCATCGCCCTTTCGTGCCCGCCTCGATGCGTCGAGCTGTATTTCGAACTCTGCAGGGACTTTCGCACACTGGCATCCGAGTCTCATAAAAGCTCCTTGCGGAAAGGTTTGTCTGGCCTGGCATGAACAAGTACGTCAAAGGTTGAACTCAGTCGTGTCTGAGCTGCCAGCGAAACAAGGGGCAGCGTCACAACAAGTCACCACCAGGCACTTTCCCCAGTCCCGACGCACGGTTCAGCCATGTGCACGTGGATGTCGTAGGCCCCTTGCCTCCATCCAATCTTTTCACCCACCTCCTTACCTGCGTCGATCGATATACTCGCTGGGCTGAAGCTATTTCTTTGTCGAATGTTCAGGCTGAAACCATCGTGAAAGCCTTCGTCAGTTGTTGGGTCACCATGTTCGGTGCCCCATCCACGGTTACGCGACTTAATTTCTTTGGCTGCACACGCATCCGACGACAGCCTACCACTAAACTGCCAACGGTATGGAGAAACGTTTACATCGTCAGCTAAAGACCGCCCAGCGTGCCGTAGAAGACCCAGGAAACTGGTCGGACAACCTTCCTCTTGCACTCGTCGGCATCCGCACAGCTTTGAAGTCGGATCTGGGCTGTGGCGCAGCTGAATTGGTTTTCGGCACTACCCTCCGACTGCCAGGCGAGATGATCCCCCTAACCTCTCGTGGGACCGACGAGACTCCTGACAATGTTGTGCACCGTTTGGGGCAATTTGTGCGCTCGCTTTCCCCTGTTCCACCTCGAGCTCCAATGACTGAGTCTTATGTCGAAAAAGACTTGGACAACTGTACTCATGTGTTCGTCCGGTGTTACCGGGTGCGCCAGTCGCTGAAATAACCATACGAAGGACCGTTCCGCGTGCTCCAGCGCAACGCCAAGACCTGCCGGCTTCTTCGCGGTGACAAGGAGGACGTGGTCAGTTTCGATCGGGTCAGGGCCGCTGTTGCAGAGGAGCCGCCGGACCTGGAACAAAGACAAAATATGCTGATCCCCTTATTCCTTTTCCTCTATCTTCCCTATCCTCTGTTCAGTCACCCTGCCTACTGCCTCGCCCTTCCCCTCCCTTGCTCTCTGCCCCTCCGTCCGGCATACTTCCTCTCCCTACATGTCAACAGCATCCAACTGCAACATCATCGTCCACCATAGAACACAGTCAACCCTCTTCGACTGTACCTCCTGCTTACGGCACTCGCAATGGCCGTCACGTTCATTTACCGGATCATTTAGTCAGGCATTTTTTCTGAACTTATGCATATCCTCCGGCGCCTTATTCCGCCGTCCTCTGGTTAAGAAGGGGGAGGGGGGTACTGTGGTGAGGTACCTGACTAATTTACCTTTGACTATTCAGTCCCATTTTCTTCGACTGGAATGCCCTTGATGACGGTACGTACAATATAAAGGTTAAATGCACATCTTACTAAACGTTTGTCAGTAACGTATTTATTAATGGAAAACGTTTAACAGTGCGGGGCTGCGAAGGATGCGGCAGGCGTTCTACTCAATCTACAAATGAAATTTTAAGTGCAGTTATATACAACGAGCATAAAGTGCAGTCATTTGCATCGTTTGGGAGGGAAAATTTATTTAAGAGTCAAGAATGTGTTACATAGGGATGAAGTCAAGAAATAAAATTCGTGGCTGGCCGCAGATAGTTCTCTAGTGAGAGTCGTCGTTTATCAAACAGCAAACGATTTTTCTAACTTTTCAATACAGCCATCGAATAAGATGTCACTATTTCACTTGGGAGTGAGTTCCACGGTCGAACAACACGCTAGCTGAAGGGAAACTTCCGATGGTGTAGGAGTGTACGCTCCAACTTGACTTGAACGGATGACCGCACATGTGACTCATGGTCGTGAATTTAAAGAAGTCTTCAGCTTTTGGCGAACATTCATGCCCGTAGATAATTCGGAATGTCCATAACAGGTCATGCATCATTCGTTTATAGCATAGGGGAACAATTTTAGCTGGATCAGTCATTCCGGGTACAACAGAGTCCTGAGACCGTCCACCAGTTTTGTGGTCCATGCTTTTATGCCGGTTTACGAGTGATTATCAATCATTCACAAATTTTGGAAACTTCTCCGATCTGCATCAATCCGATCCCAATCACCGCACATATACCCCAATAATTTGTTTTGGTTTTGTCCAGGGAACTCGCATGAACTCTAAAGTCACATTTATGCATACATACGCGCAAAGTGAACTTTAAAAAGTGAATGAACTCCAAATCCATATACTTCACCTCACCCAAACGTTACCTCAATAACAGAAAAATAGTTGTCGAAATAGGTTGATGATGGGGAGCTTAAACTTCCTGGTTTTAAAATGTTCCGCGTGCAGAGAAAAAACAGAAGGGTTGTCAAGAGTGGCTAGTACGCTGCAGAAAAAACTTCATAGTCGACTTATAGTACGGAGGCAATATGCCTGACGGTAAGAGCACCGGGTTCTGGACACTGTGCCACCCTCCGACATTTGACTAATTGTCTCGAAGCACTGGGAAGAGAAATTACTGTCCAACGCTTATTACACCTACTTAGTATCACAGCATTCGTTTACAGATGACGTTTCCACTATACATGATGGTTACTGACTACCCTATCTCTTATTTAGCAATATCATTGCGGCCTGACGACGCACACCGATAAACTTGGATGTCATGCTGTAACGATGAAATTCCCTGAGGATAACGAAGAGATTTGCCGCAACCGCTTCAGTCCGGACACATCATAACGACAATGGGTTTCGAACGTGGGCAAGTGATTCAAAGGAATAGGACGGCCCTCGTAAATAGACGACCTTTCAACAAATCTAAGTTTCGAACACAATGTTTGCAATAGAATAGAAGAGGCGGTGTGATACCTGTGTCGCAGCACTCCAATTCGCCGCGAATAGGAATGTTGCGACACTGGAATAACACCCAAAGTTCCTCAAGATAACTAAAGGAGGTCTATGATAGTGGAACGGTTAATCAGGTAGGCAGCGGGTGGCACGCGACATGCCAGTGAGAGATGTCCAGAATGTAGTTTACACCGTCAGAACGCTACCCATGTAACATAATTAGTATGCCAGACCGGTCCAATGTACTCTTAAATGTCTGGTTCTGTTACTCAATTAAATCGTTTAGCCTTCATGTCATCAGCGAGTCTTATTTTGACCGATCTACTTTACTGTTATTACATAAGATGTGCTTAACCATGAAATGTTAACCAAAATGTCGAAATGCGTTCTTGTTTCGTAAAGATAAATTAAATGATGTTGTAAAACTAATAAGGATGCAGCACAAACCTATAATGATCCAATTACTGCAGGGTGTCGGCTTGCGAAAGAACTTATTTTCGGCAGCATGCAAGATCTATACTCTGCAAAAAATGACTACTTCTGTAGTATGCAATTTTCACATTGATTTTCGATGCCCTTGAAAATTCAATTATATTTCATAGGAAACATTCATAAAAATATTCATTCCTTTACCTATTCGGTAGAAAATCACGTCTTCTTCCTATTTCATATTCAAAAGAAAAGTATAATTCGGTTTTAAAATTTTTTTATAATTCCCGAATAATTTGAAACCCGACCGGCTGTTACACTTGCATTCAGGATTTCAAAACTACAAGCTGTATATGTTCCGTGTACGGAAAACCATGCATTTCTATACGGTGTTAAAGGGAAACCGTATGGGATTCATAAAAATAAGCAGTGGATTTGAGCAATATTGTTAACTTTACAAGTCACATTCGTAAATGCGGATACATGACGTTACCTGAACGGACAATTAATGATATTAAAAATTATCACAAATGGAAACTTTTTTGAAACCGAATTATACTTTTCTTTTGAGTATGAAATTGGAAGAAGACGTGAGAGAATGAATATTTATATGAATGTTTCCTATGAAATAAAATTGAATTTTCAAGGGCATCGAAAATCAATGAGAAAATTGCATACTACGTAAGTAGTCATTTTTTGCAGAGTATGGATCTTGGGTGCTGCCGGAAATAAGTTCTTTCGAAAGCCGACACCCTGCGGTATCTGGATCATTATATATGTATGCTGCATCGTGATTAGTTTTACAACACCACTTAATTTATCTTTTCGAAACGAGAACGCATTTCGAAATGTTGGTTGACATTTCATGAGTTAGCACATCTTCTGTACTTGCGTCCAACCAAATACTTCCCTAATCATTTTCCTACTACATCAGTTGGTTACTTCATTAACCAATGTGTAGGCAGGTTAGGAGTGAGCGTGATCATCTTCTTAAAAAATGACCACATTATACAGTCTCCACTAAACCTTACCTAGGGTTCTATATGCCTCCCAATACAGCATACTGCATACTAAATTTGTGCCCTACCTATTCATAGTCACACCATAATCTACCTAATCTACCCCTTCCCACCCCTGCTCGGCCTTCCGCCATTGAAGTCGTATGCGTACGGTGTATGGCGCAATGGCGTACATTGGCCATGACTTCTATCGCGCACCCGATGCCTCCCTGCTGTTGCCCTTTTCAGAGAAAACAGCAAAACCTCAGCCACGAATTACCTCCCGCACAGCGCGCACAACACACGCACTCAAACCAGCCCATTGGTCGCCCCGCTGGCCAATACGGCTTCCATTCTAACCCAGCCAATACCGTTAACGCATGATGTCCTAGGCCACCTCCAGCCTTCTCATAGGCTGCCTTCTCAGCCTGAAGGTCATTTATGAGGTTCTTTTAATGCATTTAAACACAATTTGGCAGATATTTAATTTTTTAATTATCGCGCATTATATTTCTTGCCGTTTGGCACGTTTTAGAGGCCCCACTCGTACAACCCCTCCTACCACCAATCCCGTAAGACAGGTGGGCGGGGGAAAAATTTCTTAAGTGGTACGACACTGTATTCACGTCAAAGTTTCTAATCAACTAGGAATGTCCGCATCAAACCGATCTGCTGCTGTTTCGTTAGATGTGGATTTGAGCCGTGGGCAAAAATCGGTCGAGGCCCTTTGCTCGAACACTGCACGATTTGCGCGGAAGCAGTTGACCATTTGGAGACATAACTGCTATTGCTCGCAGGAGACTTCAGGCAAACACTACCTTTAATTCCTCCATCGGCAACAGCAGACGAAATAAATGCCTGCCTGAAATACTTTTATTTGTGGCGCCAAATCCAGACGGCAAGATTAACTACAAATATGCGTGTCCAGCTGCAAAACCACCGATCAGCTGTGGTATTCTCATCTAAGCCTTCCCTTTATACTTAAGTCTGCGCACTTTGTGTATATAGGAAAGTTATACAGAATGTTGGATGCCGCGCCAGTGTCTCAAAGTAACGCACACTTGGGGTTCGAACCGGAAACCTCAAAGGTTAGAGCCAGCTCCGCTAACCCATGCACTATCGCTGCACGACCGGAGCACACAGCTAAAAGCTTTGTTAATTTGTCATCACAGGATTTCGTAGCATATTCATGTAATGGTTGTCAAACGATAGCCTACAAGATGCATCAACTAGAGAAAGAAGTAAGAAATCTGAAGGAACTTACACACAAGACTGTTTCTTCAGAGGACCGCCCGGGGTTATCTACGCAGAGGCTTACTCGGAGTAGAGCGAGAACCATCCAGTGTAACGAATCCCCAGAAAGCAATCGTGTGGTGAATAAGACAACTGCTGTTAGTAGGCAAATAGTGGCTTCCGATGAAAAAAGGAATAAAAAGAAAATGACACTTAACACCACGGGGAAAATTCGCCAGAATACGAAAGAGAGTATATCGGTCTTGCCCGCAAAGCAGTTGAAAAACGAAACGACTGTAAATGTGCCGCCAGAAGAAATGGAAGGATAGGAGCAGTTGACGCCCAATCGTAGAAATCCCCAGACAGTGTTGCTCATTTCCTGAGCCTAACTTAGAGGGCTTCTCAATTAGCGCAATGACATATGATTATGGACCCACGGCGGAATTAGCTACCGCCGCGAATTCCCATGTCAACCGAGTTGAGAACTGAGCCGAGGAAGCCTCTAATTCATGGAGTCAGGCTCTCTTCAGAGCCCTCTGATGGGAAGCGATGCCGATCAACCACATTGTGTAACTATTCACGATGCCTCAACAAGATCCGCGGACGAGCTTCACTGGAACATAAATACCAAGACGGCCGTCCCCT